TCTGGGGTTTTGTTCTGTTCTTTCATTTGAGCCATATTTGTCTGTCTCCTCAATTTAATTAGATTTAAAAAAGGACTTCAGCATTCTTGTCCTGGGCAGTGGTCTTAAGCTGTGTCCTAGGTGGTGGTCATCTCACCCTGGAGTACAATGGCTCAGATATCATCTCGAGTTGTTTGCAGTCCTTCTGAGGAACAAAGGTGGAACTGCTTATGGTCTCCTGGAGTCAGGGTGGGTCATACCTTCAGTTCTTGGAACAAAAGTTTTTACATGCATTGATTACTAAGCTTATTAGCTACTACTTAAATGAAAATTTTCCAACTCTTAAGTCCCCTATCACTTTGACAACCTGACTTAGTGCACCTGTTAAGTTGTATGGGGTGGAGCCTTAGGTATTTGCCAAGGAGGGGCAACCTGCCTCACCACTCTGTGGCTCTGTGTCGGGGGAGGGATTGGAGAGAGGACAATGCCACTGCTTGGCTTCTGGAGGCTTGGCCAGCACTCACCCCATTTCCAATCACTTTACTCACTTCCTGTGTGCAACCAGCGCCCTTCTAGCTGTTGCCCTGGTGGTGAATGCCAGAGTGGGTGGGTTTGTGTAAGTTCCAAATACATGGGAGACCTTTCAATAGACTCTCCTGAGAGACTGGCAGTTTCATGGCTGTCCCAACCCCCACAGGGTTTTACAGTTAGAAGTTATGGGGCTCTATCTTCTTTGTGCTGGAACCCTGGGCTGTGCAGTCTGGCCTGGGGCTGGGATCGCTTTCTCCCTCGATATCCCTCCCAATTTTTATCCACCACACATGAGTACAGGACTGCCCATTCTGTTGCTGCCACCTTTCCACACCACACCGCATCTTGTCTCTCTGCCCTAACATGGCATCTCTGCTCCTCCTACCCATTTGGATGGATGTGGCTTCTTTACATCCTTGGTTGTCGGACTTCCATACGGTCCGAATTTCTGGCAGTTCTGGTTTTTTTTTTTTTTTTTTTAGTTAGTTGTAATTCTTCTTGTGGTTGTGCAAGGAAGCAAAGCATGTCTATCTATGGCTCCATCCTGACTGGAAGTCAGCATTGGAAGTTCTCATCTCTTTATATTGTTTGAGGGTTGAAATAAAATAGTATGGTGCTTGCTCTCTCTCTCTCGTAGAGACCTCAGAAATTGAGGAATTCCTTTCAATACCTTTTGGGAATTGAACCTGCAACCTTTCAGTTAGAGAATGATGCCCAACTGAGAATATATAGCTAATATCGTCTATAGTTAATTGTTACTGAATGCTAGATGTGCTCATTGCTTTATGTACTTTATTTAACCTTCAAGCCCTAAGAAATAGACATTCTTATTCCCATGTAATAGGTTTAGAACAAGTTTAGAGAGGCAGAAATTTGTCTAAAGTCATACAATATAAGTGGAAGTGCTGGGATTTGAACCTATACCTACCTGATTTGGACTGCTCTAACCATTCTACCATTTTTAAGAAAGATTTTATTCATTTATTTTTAGAGAGATGCAAACACAGAGAGAAAGAGAGAGAGAAACACCAATGTGCGGTTGCTTCTTGTGTGCACCCCCCACTGGGGACCTGGCCTGCAACACAGGCATTTGCCCTGACTGGGAATTGAACTGGTGACCCTTTGGTTCACGGGTTGGCACTCAATCCACTGAGCCACACCAGCCAGGTTAAACCATTCTACTTCTGAATGTGGTGTAACCCGATCTAAAACTTACTTTCTCACACCTAGTCCAGAACTGTTTCACTATACTCACATTAGATATTTTTAAGGCTATTACACACCTGTATGCCTTATATGCCTTCCTCGCCATCCTTTTGTAAAGAAGTCTTCATAGGTTTTCCTTGCCGTGTCTGGCAAACAGTTTGCATTGATGTCTATGTGGTCTAGTTTCACTTTTCCCAACTTCCTTTCTCCAAAGGTTGAATAGTAAATGTACAATTTTCTGGAAGTCTTGGCTAAGGAATTTAACCCTTCCAGCACTTCCTCCAGGTATATCTGGGTTAGAGCTGCTTCTGGAGCCAAAAGAAGCAACTATATCCCCCTTTACTCTCAAGTCACACGTCTTTGCTCACCAGTCACTGCAGTCCATACACAGTGTTACGCTAAACCATTTATTTTATTCCTAATGTGTCACTTCTTCAACTTGTGCAGCTAGAGTTCTGATTACAGGCATACCTCATGTTATTGCTTGTCACAGATGTTCCTTTTTTTTTTTTTTTACAAATTGTAGGGAAGACGTTACACCAGTAAAAAGGTGATGGCTCACTTTATTGCGATACTTGCTTTACTGTGGTGGTCTGGAACCAAAATAGCAGTATCTCCAAGGTGTCTCCTCACTTAGGACCATAGTTAATGTTTTATATGTTAACCTATGTTTACTGAATTACTGTTTTTGTTTTTTAACAAGATGCTGAGAGGATGGTTGTGTTGAACCATAAAGAGAATGGGTTTCAGAGAGGTTAAATATACCCAGATTTTCTGAGTCCATATTGAACTCATTCATCTTACCATAATGAAAAATTTGGCAGAGTTCGTTTTCTCCTTCACACATTGGACATTGTAGGGAAGTTAGCGACATGTGCTTCTCTTTCTTTCCTCGTGAAGTCTTAATGATTTCTGAAGAAATAGTTATGAAGGATTTTTGCCGTTTTCTAACTTGAGTGGGAAATGAGCTGAATATGAAAAATCTCTGCTCTTCAGAAGAGCCTTCAAGATTTATTTATTTATTTACTTTTAGAGAAAGGGGAAGGGAGGGAGAGAGGGAGAGAAACATCAATTTGTGAGAGAAACATCTATCCATTGCCTTTCTTATGCCCCCAACCGGGCACCTGCCGGCCACCCAGGCATGTATCCCGGGAATCAAACCGGCAACCTTTCAGTTTGGGCTGGTACTCAATCCACTGAGCCACAACAGCCAGGGCTAATTCACATATTTACTGAAAAACTAACTAAGGTATTTGAACCAGTGAGCTGTCAGACATAGAGAGATCACAAATCTCTTCATAATAAGGCAGTTTTGAAGCAGGAGACAGCATAGGAAGAGCTCTGAGACTGCAATACTGTCACTGGTCAGCATTTATCACCTTGCGCGTCAGGAAACACCATTTACCAATTAGGATGACCAAATGGGGTCTGGAGCAAGATAAGAATTTGGGCTAGCAAACCCCTAGGAAAGCTGGCGCCACATTTACCCATTAATCAATATGTGACTTTTTTCCCTCCTATCCCACCAACTATATAAGTCTGGAGAACAAAGGTCTCTCTCTCTCTCTCTCTCTCTCTCTCTCTCTCTCTCTCTCTCAGGCTCAGGGGGCTCTTGGCTTCTCGAGCCACAGTGTCTCTGGCCACCCGGTCTTAGGCTGCCAGGGACTTGTCACCCTGGTCTTCAGACGCTCTTGCTTTTCTCACCTTGCTTTGCTCTAAAACTTTCCCTGTAACCCTCTACTCTACCTGGTCCTGTTCTCTTCCATGGAAGGGAGCCACTAATAAACTGATTACATACTACTAGATTTGCTGATATGTAATTCTTTACATGCGTCAGCAAGAAGAACCAGGTCTCACCCATCAACAGTTTCAATCTTTTTAAAAACCAAGCTTGAACTGGATTCAGAAGCAGGAAAAACAGGAAACTGATTTTTTTTTTTTGGCGTTAGAGACTTATTCAGTTCTTCTTGCTCTTGTTTAATATTCACTTAGTTCACTTAAAGTTCAAAGTCACTCAGTACTTTGAATTTTTCTACCTTTATTTCATAAAGCTAAATACATGTTCGTAAACATTATTTGTTACTGTAGGCCACCCTAAGTGGATAGAAAGTCTATTGTTCATCTTTGGGCTCCTTTCCAGGATTTGTATTCAGTTCTATACTGTTGCCTGAAAAAAAAAAAAAGTTTGCCCCACACGCCTGTGGGGAGCTTTGGCAGTTTGCAGACAGTTGGTGCCATTAGTAACTACTAAAATACAGCTGATTTCTGAAGGCAGTGTAGCTGTCCAGCAGTTTGTACAAGAAAATCTGGTTGGATGAGGGCACTCAGGTTTATTTCCTGGAGAAAAGTTAGCCAGTACAAAAGCTGTCCAAAAGTTAGGATTAGCTCACAAAACTTAAAGGTAAGAGAGACTTTTAAAAATAACCTAGACCACCCCTGCCTTTTGACATTCTTTTATATTTTTTTAAAAGATTTATTTATTTTTAGAGAGAGGGAAAGGGAGGGAGAAAGAGAAGGAGAGAAACATTGATTTGTGGTTGCCTCCCATGCACCTCCAGCTGGGGACCCAGCCTGCAACCCAGGCATGTGCCCTGGCCAGGAATAGGACCTTGGACAGTTTGTTCACAGGCCGGTGCTCAATCCACTGAGCCATACCAGCCAGGGCTAATTTGACAACTAATACTTGGAATCTAACATCTAACACTTGCCTAATCCTTTTAAACCAAGTGTAGCATCCGAGCTTTTAACAGATAGTAGATAAAATTTAATAACTTGTTTTTGTTTTCTTTGAACTTAGTTCCACTGTACTCTTCCATGGCAAAGGGATTAATTTCTATTTGTCGTAATGACATACATTTCTTCTCCAACGTAATTGTTTGCATATGCATAGGATATCTTTGAAAGGAAGTACAAAAATCTGGAGATACCTGCTGTTTCCAGGAATTTTTTCTGGGTGGCTAGGGGAACTGGGATAAGAGGGAAAATTTTAACTTTATTATACTCTTCTGTATAAAATTTTAATTTTGTGACCCAAAGTTGAGACAAACTTGATTAATGAGAAATTTACTAAGTAAATAATAGCGCAGACGGAACGGAGAATATGGCAAAAACCATGCAGTCTCACTAGAATGAAAGAAGCAAAGGAAACAGGCGGGAACAACCCAATTTCTGGGAGAACAGGAGAATGGGTTGTCCTAGCACCGCCCACCGCCTCGGTGAGGTTAGACGCCTGAGGCTAGATCCCTCCGCGCTCGCAAAGACGCCTGCCCGGGAAAAAGCACGTCCGCCCCGCCCCTTGCAGATCCGTGCAGTCAGCGAATCCCCAGGCGCGGAGGTCCGGGTTGTCTCTGCTCCTGGAGGTAGGGCTCAGGGAGGCTGGGAACCTGGGGGACACCGAGGAGTGCGGCGAGTGATACGGCCGGTAAGAGTACGGAGGGGAAGAGTCCCATCCGGAGGAGGCGGACGCCGCGCCGGAGATGGAGGCGGAGAGGCCACGGCCGGTGCTGCGCTCCGTGAATTCTCGCGAGCCGTCCCAGGTCATCTTCTGCAACCGCAGCCCGCGCGTCGTGCTTCCCTTGTGGCTCAACTTCGACGGCGAGCCGCATCCATACCCCACCCTGCCGCCGGGCACCGGCCGTCGCATCCACAGCTACCGAGGTAGGGTCGCCCTTACGCGGCCGCGCCTCGCAGCCCTCTTTGTCCTGCTGCCTGAGCGCCTGCCCGCCGCTGCTGAGCCGTCCGCGGAGCGCTGCCCAGCGCTCTAGGCCTCATAGCAACAGCAACGGTGGCACTAACTCATCGACTCTTCTCCACCACCCGGGGAGGCAGGTGTTCTTGTCATTATTCCCATTCACGCATAAGAAACTGAGGCCCCAGAGAGGTAGTGACAGATCCAAGTCGAAGCTACTAGTAAGTGGCAGAGCATTCTTCTTTATAAGACTGATTAATTTGAGTTTGATGGTGACTTTTCCCCAACCCCATTCCACTTGTAGTTATAAAAGAAGTGCTCCATCCCTAATGCCCATTTGTTTAGTCTGTTAATGGAACACTCTCACATTCTTCAATGACCCCAGTGGGCTAGGCCCGCGTAGGGGCCCTGCCTGCATGGAGACCTGTCTACTGGGGAGATAGACGAATGCATCAAAACAGGTGAGAACAAGCCAATGTCAAAATTGCTGCTGTAGGAATGGAGCACAGCGGGCTGCTGGCTGCTGGAGCTTGAAGTTGGCATTTATCTGCTCAGTCAAGGGGAGGTGAGGATGGGGGGGTGGTGGTGGTGGTGAGTGTAGACGTGTGGTTTCAAATAGCTCTGGGAGAGCTTCCCGGATAGGAAAGGGAGCCCTGCAGGAAAAAAAAAAATGAATGAGATCTAACCAACCAAGAGAGCAGTTCTAGGCAAGAGGGAACCGCATGGGCTGAAGGAGGAGTGGGTATGGAATGGTGAGAGAGGAAGCCCTAAAGGTGATTTTACATCTAGGGAAATGGGGGCCGTTGGAAGTTTTTTAGCAGGGACATGACATTGCCAGGTGTAAGCATTCTGCAATATGCTTACACAGGTTGCCGTGTGGTTTGGGGAGGAAGACTGGTGTGGAGGAACCAGTTAGGAAGTTGTTGTAATAACCCAGGGTCTGATGGGGGTGGGGATAACTAGGCCTTATTGCCAAAAGAGGTAGTAATCTTCCCATGGTTTTCAAGAAGAAAAGTAGTCGTAGCGGGACTTAATTTTCACAACTATACAGGCAGACTCAAAGATACAGAGAACAAACCTGTGGTTGCCAGAAGGGAGGTGAGTTGGGCTGGGTACAAAACCTTGCAGGGATTAGAAAGTAGGAACTGACCGTTAGAAAGTAGTCACAGGGATGTAAAGTACAGCACAAGGAACATGGTCAGTAATATTGTGATAACTGTATGGTGCCGGTGGCTATCAAACTTATGGGGGAAATCACTTTGTCAATTATACAAATGTCTAACCACTATGCTTTCCCACTGAAAGCATTATAAAATAATACTAAATGTCAACTAATTGAAATATAAAATGTTTTTTAAATGAATAAACATTTCACAGCCATCCTGAGAGGAGCCTGATGGATCTTTTTTTCTTGAGGGAGGTATAGTCAGTGCCTCTTAAACTTTCACATCAAACTAACACATCTGTAGTGTCCTACTTTATCTAGAAAGTTGTGTAAATTTTGTATTCTTCAGAATTTATTTGTGATTTAATATAATTTCTTTTTTAAATGTTACCATGTGAATGTACTTAATGTCACTGAACTGTACACGTAAAATGGTGTAAATGGTCAATTTCATGTTATGTACATTTTACCACAATAAAAAAATTGCCAGCTTACATTCCTTAAATGCTGGGGGTTTGCTTTCCATTCTTCTCTCTCTTGTATATGATGCATTTGTTTCTTAAGTCCAGGTTAATTTACATAATGTGCAGATCTTAGGGTTTGATGGGTTTTGACAAATGTAAACACCTAATTAAAGTTACAGATTAGAACATTTCCATCACCCCAGAGAGTACCCTCTTCCCTCTTTCTACTCATTCCCCTCCCATCCAGAGGCAACCAGTCTTCTGATTTTTTACATCATAGATTAGTTTCATCTGTTCCTGCAGAGTGTACCCTCTCTGTCTTGCTTCTTTCTCCACAAGATGTTTTTGCACCTTGTTTTTGAGAAGCACAGGTTTGAGGAGTCCGTGACCTCATCTCTTCTTTTAATTTGCATTGTTGGTGTGATTTGTAATTCATGTGCTTTGCTTTTCTCCATGGTAGAATAGAAGGTAGGGGTATGATTTGGAGCCTCAAGTACATGGTCTTCTATTTACTAGTCCTGTTGCCTGAGCAGGTCACTTGGCTTTTTCAGACCTATTTTCTCATGTGTAAATGAACCTATTGTGAGGACTGAGCAAGCTAATGTGGAAGGCCTTTGTCTGAAGGTTAAGCAGAATGGCAGGTATTTTAATGTCAGTGCAGGGAGGTGCAGGAAATAGGGGTGTGGCTATTGAACAGCCTCTGCTTGCATTGACAGGTCACCTTTGGCTCTTCCGAGATGCTGGGACCTATGATGGGCTTCTGGTTAACCAGACGGAACTATTTGTGCCCTCTCTCAATGTGGATGGACAGCCTATTTTTGCCAACATCACACTACCAGGTACTGAGGTTCCATCTTACTTTTCAAAAAGACCAGGCTGTTGCAATAAGTAGAAGAAGGGCCACTTGCAGGAGCCAAGCCCTTAACTGACTTTTGCTTGGTGTTCAGCAAGGTAGTCAACCTTTCCGTGTCCTATTCTCCACCACAGATAAAATGGAAGTAGAATATTTGTAGGCTCTGTATTGAGCAGAGGTGTGGTGGTGTCTCAGAAGCTCTGCAGGCCTGTCAGAGCTGGGCTGCATTAAAATATCTGATGGTAGAATTATGAATGCATTGTACTTCCCTGGCCTTAGAGTAGAATATGCCCTGGAGTGTCAGGAGAAGAACAAGGTGCAGAGATTGAGCTATCATGGCTACTTTTTTTTTATATTTTAAGATTTTATTTCTTTATTTTCAGACAGAGGGTAAGGGAGGTAGAATGGGAGGGAAACATCAATGTGTGGTTGCTTCTCATGCGCCCCCTACTGGGGACCAGGCCCACAGCCAGGTATGTGCCCTGACTGGGAATAGAACCCGCAACCCTTTGGTTAAAGGCTGGCACTCACTCCACTGAGCCACACCAGCCAGGGCAATATATCATGGCTACTCTATATGGCTTCTAATATTGTATCTTTTAATGTTATTTAACTCAGTCAAACTCACAGTGCCAACAGGGGTTACAAAAAAAAAAAATCTCTGAATTGAACATTAGCATCATAGTATACCCTTTGTCTAAGACTCAAGTGATTTTGGGAGCCAGTCTCAATCCATTGAGATTTTGCTTCCTGGCAGTTGTTTTCAGTTTGGTTCAAATAAATTCATAAAAATTGTTAAAAACAAAACCTCAAGCAATTGCTAGGTTGAACTCTTAAGAAACTGATGTTCTTACACATTAAACAAATACCACTAAATATCTATAGCAGCTTCATAAGGTTCAAACGAATATGTGTACAAGGTCCTGTTTTAAGGAAGTGGGTATATGAACATGATAATTGATGAGTAAATTTTGCCTCGTGCGGTACCCTTAAAGTAGGAATGTCAAACTCTTTTTCACCGGGGTCCACATCAGCCTCTTGGTAGCCTTCAAAGGGCCAAATGTAGTTTCAGCTCCTTGACGGTTAAGGAGTGTTTTTACATTTTTACAGTCCTCAAATTATTTTGGCTCTTTGAAGACAACTGTGAGGCTGAGGTAGCACCCAGTGAAAATGAGTTTGACACCCTGCCTGGAAGAGTAAGTTCTGAGAGCAAAGTCAGATTTCATTTCCCCCAAAATCAAATTCCACACCATTTTGGTTCTGTACTGCTTTTGTGACAACTACCCCAAAACCAACACCAACCACTTGATTTGTCCATAACCCTGCAGTCCGGGCTTCCTCAGCTGGGTGGTCATTCTGCTCATTGGTGGTCATTGGTGTGGCTGTTTTCTCCTGGCAGGTTGGCTGAGGGCTGGGCTTCTCTCCCTTGTGGTCCCAGTGCCTGTCCCTCTGTGTGAGGCCTCTCCCCCAGGGCAGCTCAGTGCTTCTGAGAGGGTAAGAGCCGACGATGCCAGGCTTTCTTAAGGCTCAGACCCAAAACTGCCACACTGTCCCTTCACCCACATTCAGTTCTTAAGGCACATCGCAGGCCTGGCCCACTTTCAAGGGGAAGCTGCTACACAGGGTGACAGATACCATGACAAATACCATGAGATACCCACTGGGGCCGTCACGTTACATCTGCCACAACACATGTCCTCACTATTTTTGCCCACAGTGAGGTCCATCTGTAGTAAGTACAATTGCCATGGTTGGCAAGGGGTCTTGCTCATTCATCCCCTGTCTCAAGGCCTGCCTGAGTTTGCTGCTGAAGATTCGTGTTTTTGCCCTTACAGTGTATACCCTAAAAGAGCGATGCCTTCAGGTTGTGCGAAGCCTAGTCAAGCCTGAGGATTACAGGAGACTGGACATTGCGAGGTCACTCTATGAAGATCTGGAAGACCACCCGAATGTGAGAAAAAGACCTGGAGCGGCTGACACAGGAGCATATTGAAAATCAGCGGATGGCAGACGAGATTGAAGGTTTTAATTTGCCCTCCTGAGCCTTCGCTTTGTGATGGAACTGACTACTCTTGATCTAGATATAGGACTGGTCACTTATTCTCGGTTTCAAGGTGTCTCATTCTTGGAGTAAAACAGTGCTCCTTGCTTAAAAAAAAAGTTAACTGACTTCACTAGGTGGTGATGATTAGGGGCAAGTAAGTGTGTATAAAGGAAAGTACTTGTATTTGCCTCTTAGTCAGGAGAGTTTCCGTGTAAGAACCGTTGTGTAAGTAATTCAGTGAGAAGTGCAGCGTATTCTTTGATTGTAAGAGAGCAGTGGCATCTGCTTTAATTGCTGTACTGTGGTTGGTGACGTGTCCGCCTGCCGCCTGAGAAGACTGAGATGTCCTTGAGGCAGGAACAAACCTGTCTCCTCTTTGAGACCCCAGTGCCTCTCACACTGTGAGCCTTCACCAGTGATTGTTGAACGAACAAACCAGTGGGTACTTTGGTAGGAAGTGTTGGAGGATTTGCCCATTTTTCAGGGGGGTGGGAAACAGGGGACCTTAGAGTGTGCACAGCAAATAAACGTTTTAAAGGGAATTATTTTGTGCTTGCTTCGGCAGCACGTGTACTGAAATGTGAGCGACCGGAGAAGACACACAGCTTCATGAAGCGTTCCGTGCTTTGTGCCCTGGCCCCCGGGGCGTCCTCACACCCTCTGCTGGGCCAGAAGAAACACGCGTCCAAGCACAGCGTGTGGCACTCAGTAGCAAAATTGTGACTTTTCACTATACAAATGTTCGTGGAAGGCACTCTGTGAAATGGAAGGAAGCTGAGTCATACCTGGGGTATTTGTGCCAATATGTTAACTTGCATTTCCTTCGTAAACATTAAACATTCTGAAATCGACTTATTTAAAAAGGGGGGGGTCATTTTTGTATAAAGTACTTTCTATAATTTTCTAATGTACTTTTTTCCATTCCTGGTTGTTACAGCGCTGTTTTACTTTTGTTTCTAAACCAAGGTTAGGTTCTTACTGTTACTGTGATGATAGCTTTTTTGAAACTTGACATCTGCACAGAAGATAGGAGAAAATAGCTGTTCTCTTGTTTAACTCTAGTATGAAGGAGAGACTACTGTACTGTAAGTAGGTTTTTGCCACGTGTGGCTATTTCTTTTTCTTTTTGTAAATCCATGGCATTCTGTTTGGTTTAACATTTTTCAGCAGGCAGGATTTGGTGGCACTTTGCCCCTGCCTGGAGGAGAGGCTGAATCCCACTGTAAGCTCCGGGAAGTCCCTGCTCACGCACAGCTGATTCAGAGAGCAGCCCGGGCTGTTTCACAGTTTCATGGATGTGCAGACACTTTCTTACATGCCAGGCTTAAATCCATTCAGTACTTCTGTCAGGCTTCCTTTATGGTAACAGTTTGAGAAAAATTCAGTAGAGAAAACATTGGAAAGGACAGAAAAGTAAAAGGAAGAGAGAGATCCCTGTAGATACACTACCTAAACACAACCACTAACCTAACATTTTGAATTTTCAACCCTTTTTAAGGTTACTTCTGGTTGGTTGGTTTTGACAGAGTTGAGGTTATACTGCACATACAGTTTTGTATTCTGTTTAACTTTTTAACTTAAATATCTTCTCATGGCATCTTTATCAGCTCCCCATAAACATTAGCACAATGTTTCTTTTGTGAATAATGTTGGGATATTTCTTGGCATCTTTGGCCCCTCGTGCTAACCTTCGGGCTCAGGAACCAGTGCCCCACGGCTGTCTCGTTACTGCCTCACATTTCACCCAGTCTGGTTCCCCTCTCCACAGTCAGCAAACTGGTTGGCTCTTTCTTGTTTTAAAGCACGTTGTAGTACTCATTCAGTGGTATACCTCTAACTGTCTAAATTTTTGTGTCAAACAGTTGGGCAGGGAAGAAGAAATGCTGGTACAGGAGGCAGCTGTCTGAGTTCCGGAGTGGGGTGGGCTGGGGATTATGAAGTCTGCCTGTGCTGGATTAGTTCAGTGTTGGTTTTACTTTATTTTAATCTGTCTCTGTGTCAAAATGAGATTTCATGTTTTTGTTAAAACATGCAGTTTGAGCACTGTTTTTGTGTTGTCCAAGGAAGATTGAAAACCTGTAGCATGAATAATGTGTTTTTCACTTGAAGTCTTATCAATGTATTAAATATATTAAAAAACTATGCTGTTTCCTATTTTTTTAGTTTTTAGATTTTTAATTTATTTATAGACAGAGGGTAAGAGAGGGAGAGAAACATCGATGTGTGAAGCATTCATCAGTTGCCTCTCATAGGCCTTCTACTGGGACCCTGACCGCATTGCAGGCACATGTCCTGACTGGGAATTGAACCGGTGACCTTTTGGTTCACAGGTTAGCACTCAGTCCACTGGGCCACACCAGCCAGGACAAATTTCCTATGTTGACATTAAAAAGGCTGTTCTGTAATACATTAAATGGTGCTGAGTAAAGGAAAAAAGGAGGGTGTGTTGTGTAATTTTAACCAGATTCTTCTCTCTAGGAGAGTTGTGAAGGTAATGTTTATTTAAAGGTGTAAGGTGGGGGGAGGGTAGCAGACACAAGCAGCTAATTTCATTCTCAGTCCCTTCTCTTTCCAATGCTGGATTTTTTTTTTAATTTTTTAAAGATTTTATTTATTTATTTTTAGAGAGGAGAGGGAGGGAGAAAGAGAAAGAGAAACATCAATGTGTGGTTGCTGGGGGCCGTGGCCTGCAACCCAACATTGTGCCCTGACTGGGAATCGAACCTGCGATGCTTTGGTTCGCAGCTCGCATTCAATCCACTGAGCTATGCCAGCCAGGGCTAGATTTTTTTATCATTGTTTCTTTTCACTTTATCTTTCTCATAAATATGAAATATCACTGTAAAACAATTAAGCACTACAGAAAAGGATTACGAAAAATATTTACAGTGGAACAAAGTTTTTTCCACATGAAAACACAGTGATCCCTAACAGATGCATTATTGAAGAAGATACACAGGTGTTAACTAAGCAAGTGAAAAGATGCTTCACATATGTCATCAGAGAAATGAAAGTTAAGATAATGAGGTACCACAAGGCACTATTAGGAAGGCCAAAATCTAACACTGACAACAGCAAATGCTGGCAAGGATGCAGGGAAACAAGAACCCTCATTCACTGCAGGTGGGAATGCAGAATGGTACAGCCATTTTGGAAGGCAGTTTGACGGTTTCTTATAAAACTAAACATACCCTCACCATATAATCCCACCAATCGTGCTTCTTGGTGTTTATTCAGACGAGGTCCAAACTTAATGTCTAAAACCCTGCACGTGGATATTTATAACAGCTTTCATCATAATTGACAGAACTTGGCAGTCACCGAGATGTCCTTCAGTAGGTGACTGGGTAAATAAGCTATGATTCATCCAGACAATGGGTTCTGCAGCACTGAAGAGAAACGAGCTGTCGACCATGAAAAGACATGAAGGGGACATGCTTACTACTAAATGAAAGAAGCCAATCTGATGTGGCCACATAATATGATTCCAACTATCCAATATTCTGGAAAGGGCAAAATTATGGAGTAAGAACATCAGTGGTCACCAGTGTTTTGGGGAGAGGAATGAATAGGTAGATTACAGCATTTGTCAGGGCAGTGAAACTGTTCCTGTAGTATCACAAACTATACTAATACTATATTACACTACACTATACTAATTACTATACTATACGATACGATATGATACGATACTATACGATACTACACTATATGATATACTACATGATCTATGACATTTTACATGCATCCAAGCCCACAGGATGTTACAACAACAAGCGTGGACTCTAAGGTAAGCTGTGGACTTCAGGTGATGATGATGTGTCTGCACTGGTACGTCAGTTACGAGAAACGTGTCAGTCAGATGGCAGATGTTGATAAGTGGGAAGCTCTGTGTGTGTGGGCAAGAGGCATATGGTAAATCCCTGTACCTTCCTCTCAATTATGCTGTAAACACAGACTGCTCTAAAAAATAAAGTTTATTTAAGAAAACCCAAAAAGGATAAATAGTTAATACTTCACCGGTGATTTTTTAAAAGATTTTATTTATTTATTTTTAGACAGAGGAGAAGGGAGGGAGGAAGAGAGGGAGAGAAACATAAGTGTGTATTTGCCTCTGACACATCTCCTACTGGAGACCCAGCCCACAACCCAGGCATGTGCCCTGACTGGGTATTGAACTGGTAACCCTTTGGTTTGCAGGCTGGTACTCAATCCACTGAGCCACACCGGCCAGGTTTTCACCAGTGCTTCTATTGAGAAGGTGATGATAGGGCAGTGGCCTAGGCATCCATGCACTGTGGACATGAAATAGGTGTTCATGTTTTGCACTCTTGACACAGAAACACCAGCGTGAGCTTTCCAGGTCCTTCCACACTACGTCACTGTGTGTTAGCATTCTGAGCACCTCAGTCCCACTCTCTGCTTGTCACGGGGCTGCCTGATAGCCCTTCACTATTTCTTCTTTCCGTTTTCTTTTGTTTTCTGTTTTCCTTATTTATTGATTGATTTTTAGGGGGAGAAAGACATCGCTTTGTTGTTCCACTTATTTATGCATCCATTGGTTGATTCTTGTACGTGCTGTGACCAAGGATTGAACCTGCACCCTTGGTGTACCAAGATGACACTCTAACCAACTAAGCTATCCTGCCAGGGCTTACTAGTTCCCCTTTTGTTGGCACACCTAAACTCCCTGCCCTGACAAAATATGTGCATGGGGGCTCTCCCCACCCTCACCACACATACCCAGTAGTTCATCGGCAGAGCACAGAAAAATTAGATACACTTGGGTGATAATCAAAAGGATTGAGCAATAGCAATGGATATATGCCAGAAAGTCCCACAAAACTTGTTTCAGGATTTGGAACATAAAACCTCAGGAAATAATCTGTCAGGTTAACATACAAATAGCAATATACTCTCTCCCTAGGCTTTAGGCAGAAAACACAAAAAATTATTTTGTTTCAGTTGGAAGAAGCTAAGAGTCCTAAAGGCCTGGGGCT